ACTTTGAATATCTACTGAGTACGCGTGCACTTAACTATGACTTAGCTGGACAAAGCACCAGTACATCAGTATCGGTGGTGGAATAGAAGAGGGGGTAATTCTACGTGAAAAAACAAATTGTAAATGAAGAATAAAATTTTTCCATTCGAGGCTTCATTGTCCAGAAAATCGGCGTTGAATATTCACTGAGAACGCTGGTGTACTGATGATCCATCCATCTAAAGTTAAGTGCACGTGTGCTGAATATTCAAAGCCGATTTTCCCGACAAGGAAGCTTCAAATGAAAAAATTTTGTTCTCCATTTTCGATTTGTTTTTTCACGTAGAATCTCACCCATCCCTTCCTCGATTATACTACCGATACTGGAACACCCGGTATATATGAGGTCTAACCATTGCTTCCCTATGCAACCTTGATTACCTACTAATCTAATAATTTACTAATAATTACTACTAATTATTAATAATAATTACTAATAATAATAATTACTAATAACTACTAATAACAATAACTACTGCTAACTACTACTACTACTAATAATTACTAATAATAACAACTACTAATAATTATTAATAATTACTAATAATAATTACTAATAATTACTAATAATAATAACTACTAATAATTATTAATAATAATAAATACTAATAATTACTAATACTTTACTTACTACAGTAGTGAAGTACTTCCATTTTTGTTTCCCTTATAAACCGATTTATATTGTATTTATTTTTGTTATAAATATATTATTATTTAAATAAAAACGTGTATATTTATTTTAAACAAACAATATAGACAGACTCCAACCACTCTGGTCGATAGGTACAAATACGAGAAGTAATTGTCAAACAATTTACTAATTTTTTGGGGGATTTTAATTTTTCTTCTTTACAGATATTAATTATTTGCCTTTTTTCAGACTTTATTTTTCCATTTCTATTTATTTTTGCTCGGGAATTTGAATATTTCGTATAATATTCGAAACTTTCGTCTGTTTATGTCTAATCTCTGGGTTGTTCATTCCATTCTTATTTTATTTCCTCTTACTAATTCGATTCATTTTAGGTTTTAATTACTTTTCTTTCTTCCTTCCTATTAATTTTTATTTGAAAATTCGAATATTTCGTGTAATATTCGAATGTTTCGTCGTTGGTTTCTTTATGTTTCATCGACATCTCAACGACACGAGATGGGTGCGTTTGAATCTAAGTTTAGACCTACGTAGCTATAAAATAGACCTCGAGGCTAAGTTTCATGCGCGCGCGAAGTATTTGTCAAACGTTGAAGTTGGTTAGTTCGTTCATCATTGGTTCATACGTCCAGAAAGGAGACAAGTGGTTCCTGCAGAGGATAAACGCGAGTGGAGACAGGCGAGTCGGCGAAGAATAGCCGAAGGATGCACACCAGCGCCCTCTCCCTCGTCCTCTCGCTGCTTCGGTCCGCTCCCGCAGGAGCGCTCTTGTCGCGCAATAAAATGTCGGCTGCCGTGGCAAGCGAGCGACGGATCACCGGGGCTTATTGAAAGGATATTTCATGCGGGCGAGTTCCTATCCAGTTTATCCCATGAATTTCCCGCGGGGGTGTAGAAATCTTTCTCTGCCCTTTTGTCTCTTCCCTGGCGGTGAACCAGGCCACAGTCCGCAGACTCCTGCATCCAGCGAGAAATTCGCAACTGGCAACACGCGCCAACGACTTTTCACTCCGCTTGTGGGAAATGAGAATGCGCCCGGCGATACGTGAAGGGCTGCCAGCCGTAAGAATCTTATGAACAACCGGCGGCCTACGCGTCGTCGCGTTGCGAACTACCCGTGCTCAAGGCCTATTTTCATCTGCTCGCTCGTGAGACCAATGTGGATCCTACACTTTGCCATCGAATTATGCCCGCAAATTAATAAGCGGCTTATTCGATACGCGCTACGCCGTGGGCTTTCGTCCCGCGAGGACGTCGCAAGGGAAGTTTCCAATCGTTAAATCTCGTTTTACAGTTGTGATGCTGCTTTCATTCCGCTTGAACGCAGAGATTGATCGGTTTGGCGATATTTCGGCTAGTTTAACGGGGCTTCTGGGGATTTTGTGTATTAATGTGGTAGTAGATGGATCTCTCTTTTTTCTTCTGTTTTTAAGAAGATTGGATTTCTTTTTTTTTGGGGGGGGGGGGGGGGGATGCAATGACAGTATTAAATTTGGAAAATATTTTAAGATTGGTATAGTATTGAAAAATGCGAGTGTACATATTTTATTGGAACATTTTGAATCTCTATCTGAAGTCCTCTATATACTTGGTTTATTGTGTTATTTTAATGCGATATATATAGGGTGTCCCATTTAAATCGACTCGCTCGAGTATTTTTTAAATTATTAGTGATATTAAATATTGTATTAGATATAATGTTGAATAGTGTGAGTAGGGTGTTTTGGCCAACGAGTGGAGGATACATAAAGGTGAACTTAATTTTCTTAGATGAAATGACATCCTTTTGAGCATGGACTATAATTTGATATTTATGACAACGGTTGTCAACCTAAGGTACACGTAACACTAGTGGTACGTTGAACATTTGCAAGTAGTTTGTAAGCTGAACTGAAATGTATAGAATTTTGAGGTTATGTATTAGGTTGTAATACATCATTATGTACAACAGATGTGTATTTAAGAAGAGGTATGTGATTTTATGAGGCAATGATTGGTTGTAAGACTGTAAGGAGAAGAGGTTGAGAACTACCATAGAATATATAATGGTTATAATGATTAATAACCAAGGTAGTTGATGTGACGTTAAAATTAAATTAAAAAAGGAAAGAAAATGGTACCTTTTATTTAATATGACGTCATATACAATAATTTAAAAGGTAGAGTAGTATACTATAATATTAGTATACTATTTCGAAAAGTGAAGTGATGAATAATTACATTATAGTGATTTTTATGTCAAACAGTACTTGCAAATAAAATTTTGTCATGTTTCTAACAATTACATAAATAACCCAAATGGTCAAAATTGTTGTTTATTCACTTTAATTAATAAGATATTTAATTTGCTTTGAAGTAATTTTATAATATAATATGAATATTTATTATTAATTTTATATTATATTATTAATATTTTTTATATTATAATTGAACACTTATTTTATACTTCTTTTCTTAAATTACTGTATAAAATGACTATCACTTAATTTATTTTGCTTTGAAGTAATTTTATATTTATAAATATTTATTATTAATTTTATATCACATTATTAATATTTTTATATTATAACTGAACAATTATTTTATACTTCTTTTCTCAAATTATTGTATAAAATGACTACCACTTAATTTATTTTGCTTTGAAGTAATTTTATATTTATAAATATTTATTATTAATTTTATATCACATTATTAATATTTTTATATTATAATTGAACAATTATTTTATACTTCTTTTCTCAAATTATTGTATAAAATGATTATCAGTTAATTAAACTTGCTTACACGATAAATTGTTATGACTCATTTTTAAACGCAGTACATGTCTTGATTAATGTTAGAATATATTAGGATTAATTTCATATGCAACTTGCTTACAGATATGCTCTTCAGAGTTGTGCGAGTAATCAGGTCATGTACTGCGTACATAGGGTATTAATTCAAGTCTGATTACTAAACTCCAGCAACAGATTTGGCCTAATTATAAAATTTATGCTAGTCTGTAATTAGTTTGCAACAAAGTGATCACGATATGTTCAAAAAAATAGTTTGGATAAAGTTAATTGGTACATGAAAATAAATTTACTTTTGAAAATGTTAGCTTATTTTTAAAATTTTTAAAAATTGTTATTAAATTAATTTTTACAAGGAATATTGGAATATCCTTATTCAATATATGTATATACCAAATTACATTTCATTTTCTAATGATGAGATTATAAAAATATTGATTTTTATCTTAAATAAAATCTTAAACAGAACATTTCATTTAAATACTAATAGTAATTCATATTACAAATTTTAATATTTTATTAACTATAGTAAAAAATTGCAAAATATTATGTTATTTATAATGTTAACAATAATTTCAGCTTCAATATAAAATATAGAATGAAACTTATTAAAAAATAAAATTAGATTAAATAAAAATAAAATAAAAATGAAATTGAAAAGCAAAATTTTGATTCTTTGATAAAACATTATGACCAAATGTCAATAATAATGATTGACAACTGTCGTATCTCATTCTAAATATATTTCAAATTTCAAATAAATGTAAAAATGAAATAGTTTCTATATCAGTAAATATTCAAATCATGATTTCTTTGAAATGTTATGGAACATTGAGGTTATGGTAGATACAATGGCGAATTGTCCGCTTGAAACATAACATAACCTAATATAACCTAATCTAACCTAAACCTTCATTTTCAAATAATTGTTAATAAAGCACAAAATGAAATAGAATATGTATATGTTTCATAGTGTTTCATTATTAAAATATAAGTTACACGGTTTTATATTGCTCTTCACTATACCTAATATATACAAAGTGTACACTCTACATACAAATTGATATCCATTAAATAAAGGACACTTACAAATTGAAATTTGAAACGTGTTCCATATAATATAATATAACGTATAATATAATAATATAATATATAATTCCATATAATATAATAATTTTATTCAAAAGTTTAATTATAAATTAAAGTAAATTAAATAATAATTATTTTTTAAATCCCAAAATATTAATAGTAAAGTCAGAAAATGAAAAAGATAGTAAAAGAATAAACATAATAATCATACAAATTTTAGTATTTACAATTAATGTTTTAATGCAATCAGAAGAAGAAAGATTCAAGTGTAATAAATTCCATTTTTCCAGGCATCAGGAGCCACATGTTTTGAAACCTAACCGTTATTTTCGTCCAATTTAGCTACAGATAAATTTCCTGTAGAATTTAAGCGTGAAAATGGGATTTCTCAAGTAGGGTAGCATGTTCGTGAAACTGTATATACTTACTGCGACTCTTGTATGCGAGCCTTGCTATTACGAATATACAAGGCGCTAGCTACGCTTCCGACGACTAATATCAAAGCGCATGCACATGTTGCAGCGACATAAAGTGCCCCAGCACCATTTAGCAACGGTCCTGGCTCGAGACGAACCGAATCATTCCTTGGAGGTGCTTGCACTCCTGCAACAGAAACCACGATAATTTTACTTTTATTTCTTTAAATAACAAATTCATTTACTATATATATATTTCATGTATAGTTACATGTGGATTAAAATTTGGAGGTTATGTATTGTAGAAACTTATTTTATTCTAGTTCTTAGATTGAGATTTGAGGTTATGTATTTAGTAGCCTATTTTATTCTAATGGTTAAATAGAAATTAATTTCAGAAGCATAATAACCGAAATAGAAGTTACTTTAAAAATTAAATTTTAATTAATTAAATTAAAAAGGAGATTAATTTAAAAATATACTTCAGAAGCAAATTCTAATGTTTTAATAAGAAAAATGTTAGAAATAGAATTTCATTAATGTCTAATGAAAAATTTATTAATCAAGGTCAAAGTCTCTGAAAATAAGTATGGTTTTTTTTAATAAAAAGTTGAAGTTGTCTTATGTTTTTTCTGAAACAAACATTTAGCTTTTATAAGGACCACTACAAGTACTTCTTTTGACTTTTTAAATAAATCATGTACTTTCAAATTTATTTAGAAACTTTTTGTTTTCTTTGTTTATGCCACTCAAATCTGTAAACTGAATATAAATAACATAAACATAAAATAAAAATTGTAACTAAACAATTAAATAGTATTTGGTTAGTGGTAGCTTCTAATCATATTTAACAATTTATTATAAATAACAAAATCCAAAAACACAATAAAACATCGTAACGAAATGAGATAAAATTTTCTGCTTACTTACTATTATAAGTATACTATTAGTATGAGTATACTATTATAACTGTACTACTAACTATACTATAAACATTTTATATCAAGTTACCAGATTAACGTTAATTAACAGTATCGACAACAATATATAATACGTCGAATTTTAAATTCGGGCCACAAGTGCTTTTACCAACGAACCGATTAAATGAAATTTATATTTTCTCTACAACAGCAATGACACGTGATCACGGGGACACACAGCGCATCGCACGGCATTGAAATTTCGTTCAAAGATTCATAGGTTGCGACACAGTGCTTGGTCAACTGGCTCGCTGTCGATATCCCAGTTGTTCCAGCATGACTTTGACAGTATAATAACAGAGAAATACGGCCATTAATAGATTCGCGTGCGATTTAATGAACGGATTTCTATATCAGCGTAAAATAATTATATCACGTCTACAAAGCGCGTTCGAGCTGCGTTACGCTATCGACAGCCCATTCTGTTGATTGAACAATTCTCCGCTAGGCGTCGCGGCATGCGTCGTAGCTGGCGGAACGATTTTATCGAGGAAACATTGACAGGCTGATCGATCGTCCGTGCACATGTATCGGGCCAGTATCGAACAAGCGACGGCGCATGGTGCAACGGTGGTATAGTGGGTTAAGAGTATACTCGAACGAAAGGAAGAAAATCTCTTTGAATCTGCCCTTCTGGTCTGTTCGTCCACCGCAAACGACGCGTTCTCTACGTGCACAGTCATCCTATGAACCTCGTCGGATTTCCTTTCACGTTCGTTTGCGCTTTCCGCCCTACATAACCTCTTTACCGTTTCTCTTTTCAATCCTGTGCGTTTCGTGTTCTAAACAAAAATGGAACCTTAGCGTTTCCACTCCGGTGCTACGGCAGGGATTACAGACGCATTCCTTGTTCTTTGCAGGTACGTTTATTTCATAGGATAGGTTAATGTCTCACGTATAAAACGATTTCTCTCGTTACGATCGTATTGGAAATTGATAAGATTCCATTGCATCTTCTCCATTCGGTATTCCTTTGATTTAAATTTCTCCTCCTTGAAACAGAATCTTTCTGTTTTACCAACGGAATTGCAAAGGCATGGTGAACTCTGATAAATTGCACCTCGGGCTGCTCTTTGCTTTCGAAACTACACTTTGATTCTTTGAAGATTTTCACCTGTTTGTTTGACGTTTTTAATGAAAGTCCGAGTCCTAGTTTCTTTAATAAAGAAGCTGTATAGCAATACACTATACATACACTGCAACTCCATTTACTTAAAACTATTCAGCGTTCCGGAATGTTTGCAAGCGGATTTTTCTTTTGGGTAAAGGAAAGAAATTTTTACAATCTTTTAGAGTAAATAGAAACTTCAAATTTAGACTTTTTTAGTGTATTTTTTTATTATAAATATCTTTATATTGAGCTTTTTAAATATTTCAAAGTAAATACACATGTAAGTACATATAATTGAATAACGTTTAATTGAGTCTATCTTTCATCATATATTTAATTATATTTCAGTGAAAAATTTAATTTAATTTAAAAATTAAAAAATTCAGCATTAACTGGAAAAAGAATAGTTTGATATGCAGTAACTAATGGACTATATTGTAGTAACTACACTGTACAGTACATTTTAACTTTTCCGCTAATTTGTAATATTGAATGAGGGATTCTTACAGAGTTTACTTTCCTGAACACGAAAGTAAAGCATTTTCCAAAATCGAAAATGCTTTATTATTCTCAATTCACAAAAAATATGTTTTTCTAAAAAGGCATGATTATTAGTTAAAATGAAGTATTGCGAGAAAAGTACGGACATTAAGAGGTTCATTGTTGTGTTAAAAGTTAGGTTAGAGTATCACGAATTTATCAATATCCGCAATTATAAATATTTGTATTTTTGAATAACTGTAATTGGTCATCGAAATTTAAAAATAAGCATCCAAGCGTTCTTTCTACGCATATATCTGCATTTTCACGAAAAGTTCGTTATCTGACACGAATTTGCTGCACGGTATCGTATTCTGTAGGCTCTTTTGAAGCCGAAACTATTCAGGAACAATATTAGAATGATGTTCAATGTTGACAGGACGGTAAAATATGTATTGGGAACCCGTAAGCGGCCATTTCGCACTGCGCAGCCATTTTTGGTAAATACACGTTGCTTCGTCAGAGCCGTAGTCATGCGTAACCGATCCCGGAGTCATCGTCCAGTACACCTTATTTTCTATATCTATAAAATGTACATGATGTACTGTTTATACTAATCGCAAAATTATAGAAAATTTTTCTGAATCACTTGTAATTCGAAACAATTTCGTTATTCGATACATAAATATGAATGACTTTTTAATATAAAGTTGTTAAAAAATAAACTACTACCTAACTTTTAAGACGAATTTTAACGTTTATACTTTTCGTATAATACTTCGTTTTAGCCAACAATACTGAGGAAATAAAAATATTTCGACATAAGTATATGTATCATGGAAATTTATCCCATGCAATATCGAATGCAGATATAGCTTATGAAAAATGTATAAAGTATCGAATTTATTGTTATTAACAAATTGTTCACAAAGTAAATTTATAATAAAAGTAAAAAAATTAATAAATTACTGGTTATTATTTGCATTTACAATGTACTTCTCCTAAAATGTACCTATAATTTTCAGAAAGTTTGTAAATTATTACATTTATTGTTAATAACAAATTAATATTGTTAATAATAAATTAATACTCTTAATAACAAATTGTTCACAACATATATTAATAATAAAAATGAAAAAATTAATAAATTATTGGCTATTAACATGGAAAAATAATTATTAAAGAAATCGGTAAAGTTCGGAAATTTCCACCGATCTTCGACCGATCGGGGACTATATAAAAGGTACCGTGCCGATGCTAGACTCATTTGTCGGTTTGGCCTCGGGAGTATAATATCTAAATTTTTCAAGTGCGTGAGCGGCGTCCGGGTTAAGCGGGGGAGGGGGGCCGAATAAAGTTGGAATTAGCCACTCCACCCCCTTAAACAATTTACTAACAATTTTTCTTTTCAAGTTTTAATTATTTTTTTCTTTTCCAATTTTTTTTCGTTTTTATTTATCTTTATTCAGATATTTGAATATTTGGTATAATATTCCAATATTTCGTCGTTATTTTGTTTATGTCTCATCGTTGGGTTGCTTTTTCCGCTTTTATTTTGTTTCCTCTTACTAATCCGTTTCATTTCAGGTTTATATATTTTCTTTTCAGAGTTCCAAGGTTTTGAAGACATCGTTGAACGACGCGGGACGCGTGCGTTTAAACCTAAGTTTAGATCCAAGTAGTTATAAGATAGATCCCTAGGCTAAGTTTCATGCGCGCGCTATCTGTGCAAAAGTGAACTATCTAACTTGGAGGTAATAATATATAAATTTCTTATGCTCCCCTTATCTCTCTCATTTACCAAATAGAACATAATTGTTCTCACGATAATCGCGATCTTTCGTAGGACCGACTAGCCTACGCGACGTACTCTCGTGTACTCGATAATTCCATGCTTCGTAAGTCATCCAAACGCGTTCTGACACTCATTCTGGTCACTGCCACCCTTGTCACTCATCGGCTCTAGGATGACCGGCGGGCTGATATTCATCTGAAATCAATACGAGAATCTGTCGGCCCTAGTCGTTCTGTGTACCATCGCGTACATGACCAGGGTAATGGCCCTGTAGCCGTGACATTGCATATGAGCCTGCGGTTGGACCTCAGGGATGATTCCTTAATTGGTTTCTACCCCTTGGGGCGGGGGCCTGTGTGACTAGCTTACAGTGCCTCGCTAGGGACCCTCGGGTTGATTTTGGGTGTGTCGTTGGTTCGTCGATCACTCTCGTTCGCGAGTAAGTTATGGCGGGGTCTGTGGGGGCTGGGTGGGCTAGGTTCGATAGTGAGGGTGCCGAGGCATGAAGTTGTCTTGTACACGGGAGTGCGCCGCGTAGGCTAGTCGGTCTTTTGAATAATCTCGAACTCGTTCGTGTGCGTCGCGATTTTTCACTTGCCCGCGTCTTTCATATTTCATTCCCTATTTTTATGGGAACTTGCAAATATTAGAGTCTGTTGAAATAAGATATCTTAATGTTGCGACAGTAAAGTTTTAGTATACCGAATCGAAGTCCCCTTTGTAAGACACGAAGTATAATAAAGTGTGGATAGATTCGCTTTAACTTCTTTCGCTCCGAGTTAGGTTAGGTTATCTTTGATACGGATGGCGCCACTAGGGCG